GGGGGAAGCAGCGGAGGGCGGCGATGGTGCCTAGCCTCCACGGAGGGGTGGCCGCCATCCTCCCCCCCCGCCTACGCATGGAGTACCACTTCGGCATGCTCCTCTTCATGTTCTCCTCAGAGCTGCGTCGGTGGGCCGACGCTGTTTCTGTGGCGCCTCGCCTCCTCTGCCTCCTCCTCCTCCTCCTCCTCCTCCTCCTCCTCCTCCTCCTCCTCCTCCTCCTCCTCCCCCTCTCCTTCTTCCCTCCCTCTCCTCCTCCTCCTCATCCTCCTCCTCCTCCTCTCCTCCCTCCTCCTCCTCCTCCTCCTCCTGCCCCGAGGGGGCCTCACGCGTAGGGGGTGGGGTCGGGACCCCAGGGTCCTGGCGCCGGGAGCGGGCGGGGAGCGCCGGGCCCGAGGGGCGAAAAGCCCCCGCACCCGGTGGGCATGGCTGCCAAAGCGCGGTCCCCTTCCCCCCAGGGGGTCGCCGGGTGCGCAGTCCCCAGCACGGTGGGGGTCTCCCCCGCCCGGCTCGCCGTGTTGGGGTCGTGCCTGGCGGCTCGTCCTCTGTCGCGTCGTCGTCGTTGCCGCGGCGGTCGGGTTTGCTGAGCGTGCTGTTGGAGGTCCTCAGCAGCCCGACTGCCGCGGCCTGTGTGTTTCCCCGTTCCGCTCGGCCGGCCCGGCACGCCGGCCGCGCGCGCGGGGCGCAGGGGCTGCTTCTGCGAACTGTGTTTGTGGGGCAGCAAATTCTGGCGCGCAGCACGTTCGTCTTTTTTAATGTGCTCCCCCAATAGTCAGATCCCATCGTTCCTTTTAGACTTTAATGAGGGAGTTGGTCAGGATAAGGCCCCTGCTCGCACTCACCTCCTAGCGCGGGATGTGGCAGCTTGCTTCGGCGTGCTCTAGGAACCCTGCCAAGAGTAGGGGGCAGTTGTCGCCCTTTCTCGCGTGCCGTAAAATCGGTTCTTGGAGTTGGCGCTTTGGGGGCCAAGGTGCCTTGGGGAGACACGAAGTCCAGCGACTCCTGGAGTTTGACGCGTAACCCGCCGCGCAAAGTCGCTATATCTTCTTTCGTACGACCCGTTTCTCATCCATCTTGCGGCTTCAGGATGTCACAAATCGCGGCGACTGTTTATGAGGCCCCGATGGTTGCGGCGCTTCTTGCGTATTGTTACCGACGGGGCCTTGGCAGAGTCGTTCGAACACCAGCCTCGAAAAGGTATGTTTCTCTAGATCCTTGCTCTTTCGCCAGTCTTCATATTGTCCATGCTTCCCGTTGCTGTTTTGCTCGGGGGCACGGCAGGGACCCTTTTTTTCCGCGCCCGCGTTAAAGTTACATTCGTTGCTTGTTCGCCCAGGCTGCCGTATTCAGGTAAACGCATACGTTTACAATCACATCTGCATTCGTAGTCTCTTCCTCCTTCTCTTCCTCCTCCGCCTCTTCCTCCACGCGCTCCCGCGCGCGCCCTTGTCCTCGACACCTCGCGCGCGCGATGCATTTATCCAATATTTCGTCGCCGGGGACGGATTGATTAGCGCGGCCATTGTGGAACACCATTTGTGTGCCCCCGCCCAACGTTCCGCCGACGAGCCGCCCCGCGACCCACCCATATTCTGTTGGAACAGATGGGCACTTGCGACATGGTGGCTTCATGGCCATCACCACTGTAGTTCACCATCATCTACATCATAGTCGTCATCAGCATCAACATCATCATCGTCATCACGATCGCCATCACCAGTATTTCCATCACCATCGTCACCACCACCTCTTCCATCATCATAAACACCATCATCATCGACAACAGCAACACCGCCATCAACACTGCCACCATGTTTGGCATCATCGGTTTGCTGTTGTGGGGGACGCAGCGACGTAAGCATCATCGTGTGATCCAGCTTGCGAAATCCGCGGGCACCCCGCCGAGATTGTGTCGCCTCGGCTGGTCGCTCGCACGCCCGTATTGGCAGCAACGCAGCAACGTGTAATTAAGGAAAGGAGATGAACTTCCGCCTCCTCCCACTCCGTTTTTATACCCATCTCCTCAGCCTCCCCCCTTCCACACCCCACGCCCTTTCCTCCCACGCCCCTCCCCCCCTCTGCGTCGTCGCGCGCAGTGCCGAATTGCCCAGGCTGCCTCCTCGGGCGGCGACGGCGGCACAGAGAACACGGTGGGCCTTAGCTCGACAGGCTACAAGGAGACCTTGACCATCGTGGACGACAAAACGAGCCAGAAAACGGCGCGGGGGGGGAAGGCGGAAGGAGCCATGAAAAAGGGGAGGGGGGAGGACGAGGAGAGAGGGCGAGGGGGGAAGAGGAGGAAAAGGAGGAGAGAGGAGGAGGAGGAGGAGGAGGAAGCAGAAGGGAGGAGGAGGAGGAGGAGGAGGAGGGAGGCGAGGGAGGAGGAGGAGGAGGAGGAGGAGGGGAGGAACAAAACGGCGGCCCCCCGACCCCCGAAAAAGGCCCCAGGACGGCCGAGGGATTTTCCAAGACCGGCTCCACCCCCCCCCCCCCCCCCCCCCACTTCGTTTTTACCTCTGTTTTTTCCTTTGTCTCCAGCCTATGCCGCGCTGCCGCTTCGCTCCCGCGCGCCCCCGCCTCCGCCCGGCCTCGCCCCAAAGGGTATATAACCCCCCACAGGGGTGGGACCCCGCAGGGGGCGAGGCACATATAGGCCCGGGCGTGCTGTCGGGGCGGTTGGGCGGTTCCAGTCGCGAATTGCTTTTCCTTCTGAGAGAAACTCCCCGGAACATGTTCCTGGAGAGGCCTCCGGGAACATATGAAAATCATGTTTTGGGAGGCCTCTCTCAAAACATGATTCTTGTTCCCGGGGGAGCCTCTTGCCTCTGGTGCCAAACGCGGCCTTCACGAAAAACCCGGACAACTGCGTGCATGCTGTTTCTGTTCAGAGTAAGGAAGATCGCCGCTCGGCCGTCTGAGGGGCCGTCAGCTCTCGTTGCGATTGCGATCATCGCATCTGTGGCCATTTGGCGAAAGCACCTGGTGAGCTTAGATGAGAGAGCGCAGCTGGGAGTCTCGAGGGCGATGCCCACCTGCTGCATTTTTCCCGGAGGTGCCCCCGGACTTCGAGGACCCACCGCTCGGGGTGGTGTTGGCGAAGGGCTGTCCTAACTATTCTTCGACACCGGACAACCCAGCCGACGCGCGGATCGAAGCCGGGCGCCTCCTCAAGGAACAGTTCGGCGTCGTCATCGGAAAGCACGAGACCTTGCGCGTCGGCAAGTTGGAGGGGTCGCTTGCCAAGATGGTCATCATCAAGGACAAATCCGACGGTAGCACCAAGCGCAGGATCATCGTGGATTGGAGGAGGTCCGGGACCAATGGCCGCGCAGTGGTTCCGGAGAGACCAGTCCTGCCCAGGGCGTCAGATGCCGCCGAATCGATCCTCGACACTTTATGCTGCCAGGCTGACGAGCACGTCGCCGGGAAGGGCTTCCGCCGGGACGGCGCCGATGCGCATCCGCACCTGCGCCCCCTAAGAGTACCCGCACTGCCTGTCCCCGAACCCGCTCGGCAGCGACGGCGTCATCCTGTGGGTCATGATGGCTTCTGGGGCAAAGGGGGTTCCGCTCGTCTGGAGTCGCTTTGCCTCGGTGTTCGGGCGCGTACTTCAGGCGTTCCTCAGGCCGGGCGAAGGCAGGCCGCAGCTCTACTCAGACGACCCCATCTGGGTCTCGAGGGGGTCGAGAGGCGGCACCACGACTATCTCGTCTCCTCATCGCTGGCCTTCCTCATGCGCCCGGGGGCGCGCATCTCGCGGAGCAAAAGGCAGCGCGGCGCGCGGGTCGAGCGGCGCGGCGCCCCCTACCCCACCGCCCCCCCGCCCGCCCGTCGCCCCCGCGCTGCCAGAGAAGTTCGCGAAGGATGCCTTGGCGGAGCTGGCCCATATGAAGACCACTCGCCGGTCTCCTGGCAGCGCCTGGGGTCCTTCGCGGGCCGCCCGTCGCGGGCGGCGGGCGTGCTCGCCCGCCCCGCCGGGGCCGCGCGCGTCTTCTGCGCGGCGGCCCACGCGGAGCGCAGCGCGAAGGCCGCCCGGGGCAAGCCGCCGAAGGGCAAGCGCAAGAGGTGCGACGACGACGACAGGGACAACAGGCGCTCGGTTCCTTCCTCGAGAGTCGCGCGCTGCCCGCCTCCCGATTGGAGGGCCTCCTCAGCAGGGTCGGGACGCAGATCGCTTTGCACCGCGCGGTGGGCGTCGCCCCCGAGCTGCTTGGCATCGCTCGGACGTGTGCTTTTTTTTCTCCGTCGGCGAGGACCATCGAGGAGAATCCTTGATCATTTGGCGAAAAACCACACACGAAACCGAGAAAAAAACGCAGGGAATGGACGTCCGAGCGATGGCCAGGCCGGCGCTTGCCGTCGACGCTTCGCAGGGGGCGCCTCGGCGGCTTCCCGCTCGGCCCGGTGGCCCGGAGACCGAGCGCGACGTCTGCTCCTCCGCCCTCGGAGGACGCAGCGGTCAACTCACCAGCCTCGAACTTATTCCTCCTCCTCCTCCTCCTCCTCCTCCTCCTCATCGATTGACACGCTAAAAGGAAATGACAATCCTAGGGATGCACCCTCGGAAACGGAGGAAATCCCCAAGATCGCCGTCGTGATGAGGCGATGCCCAACACAGGGATAGGGATATGTTCCAGGCTGGTAATCAACCTGGGCCTGACCGTGGGGGGGTCCATCGCACGGGGCGCGGCGGAAGCGCTTTCCGCGAGGCTCTGCGGGACAGGCGCGCCAGCTTGCTGGCGCGCTCTCGGACTCCATCTGGCGGCGCTGGCGTCGGATATAGAAAGCTGGCGAGCGGGGGCCCGGCGCCGCACCTTCTCGCGGCGGAGCCTGCCTCGGAGCTGGAGGCGGTCGGCGCTGGAGACGTGGCCCTCGCGCACCTGCAGGGGGCGCGGAGTGCGCCGGCCGACCGCCTTGGAGGCGGCGCGCCCCGGGTCGCGATGGTGATGCGCCTTTTTCCAGGTCCGCTAGGTCTCCGACGAAGACATCTATACACCACCACCGTGCCAGACCAGGGCCATCCTGGGCCGTAGGATGGTGTATAGACCCTCCTGGCTCGGCCAGGAGGGCGTATACACCGCCCTAGGGCCCAGGATGGCCCTGACCTGGCACGGTGGTGGTGTGTAGATGCTCTCTGCGAAGGTCTTGCCAAGTCGAAGCTTGCCCCGCAGCGCGATGCGGCGCGGCGCCGCCTGCCTCCGCCCTGCGCGGTTTCCGGCGCTCTGGGGCGCGCGGGGGGGGCAGCCCCCATGGCGTTTTTTGTGTGTCGCCCTCGCGGAGTCCAGAGGTACTCCAGATTTCGTAATAAAAGGGAGGGGGCCTGGACCCTCCAAGACAAGCCATTTCAGACCCCCCCCGTGGGAGAACCCTCCAAAACATCGTCCCCAGACCCCCCAGGCCCTCCAAGATAGCCTGGAAGAGACCCCCCCCCGAAATGAGACCCCCCTCCCTTTATTACGAAATCTGGAGTAACCAATATGCGTTGAGGAGGTATGGCCTTGTGCGCGAGCCTCTCGTGCGGCGCTGCAGCTGACGCGTTTCGTCCGCCCGACCGCAGGCGTCGAAGGCGCTTGCTGCTCATCGCTGCTGCGCATCGCTGCCGTCGCTGCGATCGTCGTTGCCACCTGGCCGCATGTTCGCGCGGCGCTGCGGCTGACGCCGCGTTTCGCACGCGCGGCCGCAGACTTCGAGCGAGTTTTTGTTGTTGTCTTGTTCCCCTTTGTTCCCGGAGCGGCCTCCCGGAAAGTGTTCCCGGAGAGGCTTCTGGGAACATCTCAAAGTCATGTTCCGGGAGGCCTCCCTTGGAACAACTATTGGCCCTGGAGGCAACCCTGCTCCCGGTGTTCTCAGGGACGACTTTGCGCGTCGCTGCCGTCGCTGCGATCGCCATTGCCACGTGGCCTTCTATTCCCTCACGCGGCGCTGCGGCTGACGTTTTTCGCACGCGCGGCCGCAGACGTCCAGAGCATAGTTTTTGGGGGGGCGGTGCCCCTGTGCTCCGGGCGGGGCCTCCCGGAGCGCGTATTCCCAGAGAGGCATATCCGGGATCGGGAAAATGATGCTTTGTTGCTCCAGGAAGGTCCTCCGGAAGCCTTGGTTCCTTGCTGTGCCCAGGGAGGGCCTCGCCTGCGCGGCGCTGCCGTCGCTGGGTCTCTCGCATGGCGCTGCGGCCGACGCGCTTCGTGCGCGCGCCGCCGCAGACGTCGAGGGATTTTTGTTGTTTGTTTTCCCCCTCCCTCACCAGCCTCGAACTCATCCCTATCCCTAAGATTGACACGCCAAACGGCGATGACAATCTTAGGGATGCGCCCTGAAACACTGAGGGAATCCCTGAGATTGGCACTGTGATGAGGCGATGCCCAGCTTATAGGGGTTGGGTTATGCTCCAGGCTGGTAACTCCCCCCCCCCTCCTCCGATGTCCTGGCAGGGAGGCCTCCCGGAGCACGTCCGCGGAGAGGCGGTTCCCGGAGGCCTCTCCGCGGAGAGGCTCCGCGCGCGGGGACAGGAGTGTCCTGGGGGGAGCCTCCCGCGGACGGATTCCTGGGTGTCCCGGGGGGGGCCTCCTGGGGAGGCCTCCGGGAACGCGAGAAAGGGCGTGGAGGAGGGGGAGGGGGAGGAGGAGGAGGAGGAGGAGGAGGAGGAGGAGGAGGAGGAGGAGGAGGAGGAAGAGGGAGGAGAGAGGAGGAAGAGGAGGGGGACGAAGCAGGTGGTGTAGGAGGAGGAGGAGAGGAGGAGGAGGGGAGGAGGAGGAGGAGGAGGAGGAAGAGGAGGGGGACGAAGTGGAGGAGCAGGAGGAGGAGGAGGAGGAGGAGGAAGAGGAAGAGGAGGAGGATGAGCTCGGAAGAGCGGTGGGTGGGCGAGGCGACGGTTTAAGGCAACTGCCGGTGTCTGGCGCGCGCACATGTACCTGCAACCGTCGCCACCCCGTGCTCGCCTCGGCGCACCGCGGCCTCTTCGAGCCGACGGGTGCCGTCGCGAGTGTCACCTTCATCTTCTCGTGTTCCCCAGCCCTGCTGCTGGCCCTTTCTTTTTTTCTTGCAGCCATTCTGACCTGGCCTTCGGTCGAGCGTGTCCCTCTACAGGAGGAATATTCAAAAATAGTGAACAAATAGTCTGGGGGCGATCTTTCTACTATGTTCGATCATGTTTGGAGTATTTTCTGGCAATCTTGTATTGTTCGTCCAAAATCCGCCTGTAGGAGGACATGCCCGACCTAAACCTGGCCGCGGAGGTTCGTCACTTGCGGTTTCGGGTGAGCGGGGCCTCTCCCGTGCTCGACATCCCCTGTAGCGAACCAGGGCCTCTGGCCTCCTTGTGCCAAACGCGGCCATCACGGAAAACCCAGACAACCGCGTGCGTATGCTTCTTCTGTGCCGATGGCAGGGGAAGGGCGCCGCTCGGCCGTCTGAGGGGCCGTCTGCTCTCGTTGCGATTGCGATCGTTGCATCTGTGGCCATTTGGCGGAAGCGCCTGGTGAGCTTCCCACCCGCCACTCCCCGGTGTTTTCTGCGTCTTCGGATGCGGATCCCTCAGGACGCGCCGCCTAAAGTAAAAAGATCAGACACTGTGAAAGGAGGAAAACGAGGAGAGAGGAAAGGAAGGACAGGAGGAAATGAGGGGTAGAGGACTTGACCTACCGTTCTACTTGGTGGCGCGGGGTGAAAAGAGAGCGTGAGGGAAGGGAGGAGGACGCGGAGGATATGACGGAGGAGGGGGAGGGAAAGGGAGGAGCAGGAGACAGAAAGCATGGGGAGTGGCGGGCTGTGGAGGTGGCAACACAGCAACGAGGTGCGTGAATGCGCAATGCTGCGACCATATGTCACGCATGGTTCTTGCATTGTTGACAAGGGCTGGGTCCATGGGAGGCGGGGCGTGAAGGTGACAACACAGCGCCGATGTGTATGAATGCAAAGTGCCGCCAGCATGTTTTACGCATGTTTCCTGCACTGCCGAAAAGGGGACTGGGGGCTTTCCGAGAAAGGCGGGTGGGCTCGTCGTGTGGCCTTTTTGTAGGGTCATCCTCGGGCAGCTTTCGTGTGGATTTTGGGCCTTGTGGGGAAGGGGGCGGTGAGTCTTGGAACACATGCGGCTTTGGCGTGCTGTGAGCCCCCCCCCGCCCACAACCTGTCGGGACACAGTGCTGCTCGAGCGGGGAGGGGGTCCCCCGGAGCCCCAAGGGAGTGCGAATCCTGGACTCTTCCGCCCGGCAGTGGCCGTGCCCTGCGCCCCCGAGGCGCCGCCTCCGCTTGCACCCGACGCCGTCCTCCCCCTCCCGACCCCCGCACTCCTCCTCCTCCGCCCTCCTGCCCTCCCTTCCCCTCCTCCTCCTCCTCCTCCTCCTCCTCCTCCTTCCTCTCTCTCTCCTCCTCCCCTCCTCCCCCTCCTCCTCCCTCCTCCCCATCCCTCCTCCTCTTCCTTCCTCTCCCCTCCTCCTCTCCCTCCTCTCCCTCTCCTCCTCCTCCTCCTCCTCCTCCTCCTCCTCCTCCTCCTCCCCTCCGCCCGCTCTAGTACCCCCCCGCGCCCGTCAGGCTGATCCGCCGCTGGCTCTGGCGCCCCCAGCGGCCACCGCCGCCCTGCCGGCCCCGCCGTTGGCGGAGGCGGCGCCGGCAGCGGCGCCGGCGCCGCAGCTGACGGCGGCGCTGGCGCCGCCAGAGGAG